TGCTCTCACTCATGGCTCTCACGGTCGAAGGCACGCCAGACCGAGTCAACCTCCCTATGAACTATTCTCCAACTCATTCTGTAAACAATATATTGTTACTACTTCTATGGATTTTGAAGACTTCTCTCATCTCCTAAGGAATCGGGCCTGTAAGATCACAGCCGTTAGGGTTAAACCTAAGTAGCCTTAGCATTTTGCGATAGTTCCTCTTCGCTTTAGTTTCCAGGTACCTGACTAGATCTTTGGCCTACAACAAGATTCATCAGAATAAATAGCTTCATGCTTGCAATAACTGGAAAGGTCATATGCAAATATTATCGATCTGAATTGACTCCATTCTCTTCCTTTTACGCTTTGTGATTTATAAATACTGAGTTTTACGAGTGAAGGAGAACGTTGCGCTCCAGTTATTTGCATCGGTAAAGAAGAAAGTAGGTCAAGCACCGGGACGATTGGTTTAATGTTCAGAGCTTTCGGACTCTCACAGGAGTCCATCGTCAGAGATAGGAAACAGTAACAAAAGAGTGGCTGGTAATAGCATGTGTAAAAAAACAGTCAAGTTTTGAAACGTCAGCTTAAATACAACCTGGTCCCAGAAATCGCCCCTTCTTCCTCTTCCGGGGATGATGAATTTAACCTGTGGAGTTTTTCAGTCAAACTGCGAACCAAACCCAAGAAATAGTAGATTCTCTATCCCAAGAAATTTCAACCAAACTTATATACATATTTTTTGCTTTGGACAAATTACTTAAATTTAAACTTGATTATCGCATAGCCTAACCTTTACACATTTTCATTATGTCAGCTTGCAGGCTTTTGAACGAGCTTCTTTATAACCGCTTTCAAAAAGCGTACACTGACCACGTTTTTCAAGGCTGAACGCCAGCCGATGTATGCCGTTGTGTGCAATTTTGTTCATATCCAAGGAAATTAGACAGTCAGAAACCAAAGGCAATCTACATCGAAGAGTCACCTTTCGTTGGCTCCTTAAAGTGCAGCTCATTCAGTGCAATTCATGCGATGGTCTCTAAAATTAGTTTCTCAGAAAATGCGTCTGTTTTTGTAGAATATTCAACAGTGCCAAAATATACATATACACGCAAAAAAATTTTTCGTTTAGATCACGAAAACAATGTCATCTTTGTCCTGGGTGTCGAAAGACTCGTTTTGTTCAATTTGCACGAGCAGAAGTCCCACAAGTCCGAACAGGATGGGTGCGGGAGCACTGCCCAAACAGGTGTCAAGCTCCGCGCCCTGAAAGGATTTCAAAAGTCCGAATATCACTAAAACGGAACAAAGCAATAGTGAGGCTTGGGACCACTTTGTTTCAGTACATCCAAGCAAATAATAAAGTGAGTATACTGCCTGATAGACCTGGATGTTTAATCGTTAGTTTAAGGGACTAAGCGAAGACTCGACAGTGCTGTTCTATGCTGTCAGACAGATACAAGCCAATTATGTGATTATGTCCGGGCGCATCAGCGAGAAATTTTACGTAGCAGCCAGCGTAGGTGAAGGGCTAAAGATGCACAGTGTTTTTTTTTCTGAACTGAACAATCAGCCGCGGGTGGGATTCCTCGAACATATGCGAAAGAGTCTGCATGCTTCACGCGCTAGGTTTGAAAATACTAAACAATGAACTATGCTTAGAAATCGCTGTCGTTGGTTTCATCCATATCTAAGCTATTTGTTGTTTTTCTTGCTAAAAGACAGCGAGTACTTTGGAGGATTGGTTTTACTCCACTCAACCTGTCTCTGATACCTGAAAGAGAGAAAATAACTAAAGGTCCGCCTTAAGACTGACCATACCATAACTTTTTACCTAAAGGATTGGTGTTGACTGTTGTCACATCTACAGGTATCCTGTGTGAAGAAATTGCTCTGACCAAGTTTTCTAAGCAAGACCAGGCTTGATAACTACTCAACTGTTGTTTTCAGAGGAGCTTCGCATGTTGCGGTTGGCAAACGGGAGAGTTAAGGAATGAAAAGTGGAGACATTTAAGCAGCTCACTGAAACATGCTTGGATTGATGTTGGCATTTCGGATAGCTTAGTCGGCACTCCGTTTTTTTAAGGGCCTACTGTCGGAAATTTAGAACGTTCTGCGGCCTATAAAGTCCTGTGCCATTACGTGAATACTAACCAGAACAAGGGCACACGGAACCTAAGAAATGGGTGCGAAGACGGTGCAGCGACGAACCCACCGGAAGGTAAAGTAGGATTAGCATCACCCTTCACCTTAAGCGCAACACCAACTACCGTCAAGTTACACAAATATCCATACAAAGGCTAACGAAGGGGAACATCGATCAGCTCAAGGTCGTCAGCTTCGGTCAGTCATTCAGAACTTTGATCGATAGTCGTTAGTTAAAAATGGAGAGCTGGCTGAGCTCTTCGAAATTGATCCAAACCTGTTCCGATGAGCTACTTCACTTTCTCAGGGTTTTGCATGTATCATTGAATGACAACTCACGCCCGTAGAGGAAGGCGTCTGTGGCCGCGGGCCCAATTTCGACGTGCTTGTTAGTCGGCAAGCAGAGAAAACATAAGATTGGGGTACAGAATCCGATTGATATGAAAAGCCAACTGCAGAAATCTAACATCTGATCCACAGAAAAGCGCCCTAAAATAAAGTAAAACGACCAAATGTTAGGCGAGGCGTACAAGAGAGGGTGAGAGTCATTTCCCTGAACGATCTCTTAAAATGCGTATTTGATATTGATGATTAAGCTTTACCTTCCGATTGTGAGGATTAAATGGCACAATTGCGGCACCTCCGTTCTTTCTCCGAGTAGAGCTTGAATTCCATTGAATTCTTGTTCAATCTTACTTTCTAACCAATTCAACTAAGCCATAATTATGGTAGCGGTTTCTCCATTTATTGAAAGTTTGGTTAAAACCGTTTACTTTGCTGTTTAAGTTGATGGCCTTCCATGCCACATGAACTTCATATGCGCTCTCGGCAGGGTGCCTGCGAATCGGACTGTTTATCTTCAAACCTGAATTGAACTTCAAATATTTGAAACTGTGGATCATACCTATGTGAGGAAACTATTTTTTGATTCAAATTTTGGCAGTTTGCTAATTCCCTTAGCTGGATTTTCTTCGCAACACCTATATCAGTTGATTAATTAATTGAGAAAGCAAAATAGCCCAAGGTAATATCTCATCGAGGGATATAAATTTAATGCATGTCAAGATTATTTTGGGAAATTACTAACGGGCCTTATATGAGCGCGCACGTTTGCCCAAACGTCCGAAAATGTGGTCATTTGCATGATCATTCGTTCTCGGTCCTTATGCTGTATCCGTTCTGTAGGCACATATAATCAGGTAAAATTGAAAACCGTGACCGCAAAACTTATTTTTAGTGGACTTATTCTGGTGCGGCTTCTTTGAGCAGTTGTGTGTTTCTAGGTTTAACTTTTTGTTCTATCGCATGTTAGGTTTGGGTAAGTTAAAGACTGAGGGCGATTATGCGTCTTCCGTAAAACCTATGCTAGATACATCTGAAATTGGCCCAGTCGGCTTTCTATGGTCCTTTGAATTTTTATTGACAACTTTCAAATTGAACTGATAATCCTTTATTCATTTGTAATGCCGACGTCAACCGCATAGTTTTCCTACAGCAACCGACGTTAACAAAATTGGCAATCTTATCAAAGTCAATAAACATTAAATAACTTGATTGAGGGGCAAATATTAGGTAAAGGCTTTTTGTAATTAATTCGAAAATTTCAAATTAAAAAAAACTATATTGAATTTAACTGTTAAAATGTGTAAGTCATTATAAAGGCGGCAACAATTCTCTCACATACATGCAAACAAACCAAATGGACTTCTGCATCTCTTTACTTTCACATATCGATTGTATTATATGAGAAAAACAATTAGCGAAAAGATTTCCACCCACCGGTGTGGTCACCAAAATTGATTGACATCAAATGCACGATGGCAATACAAGCTCCAATGACATAGAAAATTTTCATAAGAGCATAGTTAAGCCTGCTGTGGCATCTTTCGCAAGCCTAAAATTGAAACGAAAGTGGGTAGAGTTAGGGTGGAGTGTTCAGGAACTATTGTTCAGGCTAAAATCTACCGACACACCGCGGATCTTTTAATTTACCATTCCGAAACACATCTACAAGCTGCTAACCGAAGTACCGTCGAAACAACGTCTCAAATCAACGATGATTGTTTTTGAGGTGAATTCCTGAGACTGTCTTCTTTCAAATAATTATACGCCCTTGAACGTTTTAATTTAAAAGCAGTCACAAACGTCCTTTGGTCGCCCAAATGCGTTTATGTGAAGATCAAAGTCAACCGGTAAAATTAAATATTTCTTCAGTCCGTTTAAGATAATAAGCCTACATTTATGATTTCGGACAAGGGAAGATGCGTTTCTAATTGTGCATTATCGTGTAGAAACAGACCCGAGCCTAACAGATAGAGATGTCCGCATCTTGCTTGATTTACACTTGCCGATCTGCTACGGGACTCATTTGTTTCCTTTTGACTTTAGATTCGATTTCAATTTAAAACTCACCAACAGTCACGAAGGGAACATTCTCATATTTACTTCGGATGGCAAAAAATGCAAGGGGACTGTACTAACAGGGAAAATCCTCGAAGTAATTAACGAACCCCGATAATTTTAATTTAAAATGATCTTAATTGGCAGAAACTCGAGCTGTTTTGCTATTGCACCAAAGATAGTGACGATAAAATTATATTAGATTAAAAGACCGACATTTGATGTTTTTTAAGCTACAGCTTAACCAATTCATATACTTTGTAGTAATGTTTAACGCCTAAAATTTGCACATCCAGAAGGCATAATCCATATATATTTTTCCATGACCGGTAATTTGAACTTATCATTTAAGCATTAATTTTTAAGGATAATAACAAACAGGCATAATTTCAAAGAATCATAATATCTCCTTTCTGTATTTATTTATTAATATCATATATTAATGTTCTTAAAAGAAAATGGGTCGGTGAATGTTAAGTTTTTCGCCCAACAAAAATACCCCTAGCCCAGGAATTTCGTCTATCGGGACCGATGGTATTTGTCTTATCGATTTTTTAGCTTATTATTTACTTTATTAATTCAGTTTTCTCTATTCTAATTTGTTTTGTTGTTTTTAGCTTAGTTTACTTAGTTGCATATAGTTCGAAGTTGCATATATTAGTTATTTTAGTCAATTTATCTAACTTTGATGATATCTCACCAAACTCAAAACTCAACGTAAACTAGAATTAAACTGTTACACTAAATAGTAAACTAACAACTAAAATGAAACTAAAGGAAACTAATAACATTTAAAGTAACCACAGTACTACGGGCTAGAGGTATCTAAGGTGAAAGAACAACAAAGCTGCTAGAAACGGATCATTACTGCATGTATGGCAATTTCATTTTTGTATTTTAGTACTGTTCAAGTATAATTGTGACTTAAATTTTGTAAAATTTACAGTAAAATAGGAAACTGAGTGCCTTTTTTAAGAGAAGAAGTGAAAACCCACACGAAATAAGCTTATTTCGTGCGTTTTATTTTTTAGAAATACGAAACGTAATGCGGTAAATTATAGTTAAATAAGTGGTAATAACAATTAAGTTGAGGACATACTCAGTGTTTAGCGTACGCATCTGGGCATTTAAAAGCCTCTGTTACTTTCCTGTCCAAAATTTGCAGATATTTGAATTCGCACACGAGTCTAGTATGGTTACCTTTGCGAATTTCGAAGTCTTACCTTACCAGCTTACACACGAATACTGAATAGACTACGTTTAAGTCTAGGTTACGCCTCTGATAACGTTCAAAGCTTCAACAGACAGCTTCTGTCATTGGAAATTGCTTCCGGGTAAGAGGTGCTCTCTAAGCTTTAATTTGTTGGTAGCAATTTGCACCAGCAATATGGAGCAGAGCACACAAACAGAGAAGACGGGTTACCCGTCAGCCTAGCTGCTGGCTTCCCGAAGCGTGTACAGGTGGCAGATAGTGGAACGACCTTCAATGAAGGTTAGCTGTGAAATAAAGACTCTTGGCTCCGTCAAGTAAGCAGTCTTTGTCCAGCAGACAAAAGTGCTACAAGGGGGAGCGGGCTGAGGTCGGGCATGCCAAAAGTTTGAGAAAAAAGATACAAAGCCCGATGACGGCACTGGAACATGGCGACCGTGAACTACCATTAAAAAACTTCCCATGCTAGCGCTGCCCTTTAGTTAG